GCCGAGCAGGGAGCCCGATGCGGGGCTCGATCCCAGGACCCTGGGATCATGACCTGAGCCGAAGGCAGCCACTTAACCGACTGAGCCACCCAGGCGCCCCACTTTTCTTTCTTCTAAGTAAGTTCCTGTGCCCCAGATAACCTTAGGACAGGACTAGCTGCCCATTCATCTGTTCTGAAGTAGTCGGAAGAGCTAGGGGGTTAGAGTCAGATGGACCTGGTTTCAAATTCTAATCCACTTTTAACTAGCTGTGAGCAATTTACTTTACCTCTCTGATCTTGTTTTCTCAGCTGTAATAATATTACCAGACATAAAGTGTTGTAAGGAACAAACGCGTAAGGGAAAGCACCCTGCAGAGTAGCCTGGCCCATGGCACTTAGTTGAGGATGACGATGGTAGCCAACATTTATCAAGTATACCTTCTGTACAGTACTTCTGTACTAGAAAGTTACATATTTTGGGGCGCCTGGGTGGCTCAGTCGTTAAGCGTCTACCTTCGGCTCGGGTCGTGGTCCCGGGGTCCTGGGATAGAGCCCCACATCAGGCCCCCTGCTCGGCGGGAGGCCTGCTTCTCCCTCTCCCACTCCCCCTGCTTGTGTTCCCTCTCTTGCTGTCTCTCTCTCTGTCAAATAAAATCTTTAAAAAAAAAAAAAAAAAGTTACATATTTTATGTCTGTAATCACCGGGAGCACAGAGACCCTGTAAGATTTCTTTGTATCTTCATCATACCCAACACACAGAGGAAGACACAGAACAGACAAATCCTAAGTCACCAGCAGATGCCAGTTCTCTCTTGGATGCCGTCTGTTGTCTGAAGTCATCTCAGACCACTCTGTGACATGGAATCTCATCTACTATAACCCGGAGAAATGGGTATTTTATTCCCTTTTTCAACAAGTTATTTCTGAAATCATCTGCTTGAACTGACCAGGCACCAGCTCTCTCTGACTTCCGGCAAGGCTCTCCTCCTCCTCCTGTGTCCTCACTGGTCGAGAGAGGGGGGCAGACTGGAGGAGCTCACAGGGCTTTCCTGGCGCACACATTCTCTGATGTGTGAAATGCAACTCTTCTTTATTTCCTGAGCCCCTGCTATGTGCAGGCTTCTGTGCTGGGGTTTTCTACTCACATATTTATACCCATCTTCTCCTTCCCTCCAGTTATGGTGGAGAAAATGTCCTTTCTTCCATCACAAGCCAGCCCTGCCTGCACTGTGGATTCCATACCCTCTTTCCTTTTTTTAAAAAGATTTTATTTATTTATTTGATGGATAGAGGCACAGCGAGAGAGGGAACACAAGCAGGGGGAGTGGGAAAGGAAGAAGCAGGCCTCCCGCCGAGCAGGGGGCCTGATGTGGGGCTCTATCCCAGGACCCCGGGACCATGACCCGAGCCGAAGGTAGACGCTTAACGACTGAGCCACCCAGGCGCCTCTCCATACCCTCTTTCCTTCTCCGGGACCCATTATGCTATCGAAGTGTCTGTCTCATCTGTGACTTCAACTTTTCCCTCTCTGTCAGGCTGTTCGCCTTTTAAGCATTCTTTTTCAAAAACATCGAACTTTCTTTGACCCACTTTCTCCTCTAGCAACTGACCCATTTCCTGTCCTTCACAGCTAAACTTAGAAGAAAGCTCTGTCCCCTTTTGATCACCTTCTCCATACTCCTTAGCCTATTCTAATCTGGCTCGGCTCAAACCCTTCTTCTGAAATGGCTTTTACTCAAGTCACTAGTGGCTGTGTCACTAATTCTGACCTCAGCAGTCATCATTGGCTTTTGTGATGCTTCCCTGTTCTGCTTTAACTTCTGTCTCTTCTGCTAACTTGTCCTCCCCTTGAATGTTATTGTTCCTATGAGTGCAGACCTAAGGCATCTTCTCTGCATTTCACCTAGGCATTCTCCTTTTCCTTTTCTGTGACTTTTTGGACCAGAACTTTTCTCAGCACCAGACCTTTAGTCTTCGGCTGTCTATTTAGCATCACCGGTCTGTCCACTTCTCTTGATTTTTACTACCATTAAATTAGCCCAGACCATCACCCTGGTCCAGGTCTCCAGCATCTCTTTATAAAGAATTGTCATTGTCCCTTAGCTAAGGTTCCTTTCAGTTTCTCAAGCACACCAGGTTCCTTTCTGCCTCAGGGCCTCTTCCCTCTTCTGCCTTTCTTCCTCTCCCTAACTCCCACTGCCCTTTACCTCTCAGCCTCAAATGTCACTCCCTCAAAGAAGCCTCCTTATGTGACCTCGGCTTAGTTAGGAACCCCTTTCTTCGCCCTTTACTGCCTTTGAAATAATTCTTATTTTAGCCTTTGAAGTTAGATCTTTTTTTTTTTTTTT